CATATATCATTTTCATTCTATTAAACTTCATTATCAATTATAATTATAAAATGTTTCTCCACAATAAATGTTGAACAAAAAGGATTTGCCATTAAATCTCAATTAAACATCTCTGGCTGCCAGTGCTCTGCTTAGTTGAAGTTTGACTCTATTAAAAGACAATAAATAAATCCTCAGGCCAGGCGAGGTGACTCATGCCTGCAATCCCAGCACTTTGGGAGGCCGAGGCAGGCAGATCACGAGGTCAGGAGATCTAGACCATCCTGGTTAACGCGGTGAAGCCCCATCTCTACTAAAAATACAAAAAATTAGTCGGGCATGGTGGCACGTGCCTGTAGTCCCAGCTACTTGGGAGACTGAGGCAGGAGAATCACTTGAACCTAGAAGGCAGAGGTCACAGTGAGCCGAGACCGCATCACTGCACTCCAGCCTGGGCGACAGAGCGAGACTCCGTCTAACAGATAAATAAATAAATAAATCCTCACATTTGTATCATTTAATAGTGGACTTCCACACGTGACTGCCTCCCTTGATCTCTGCAGCACCCCTGTGAGGTACTGAGATGAAGGGAGATCACACAACATAGGGAAGTAGCAGACACACTCACACACACACGCACACAAATGTGCTGTGACCTTGGGTGAATCACGGTCTTCAAGGGCTCCAATATCACACAAGCCCAATGGTGCAACTTTTGATGAACAAGCCGTTACACAGCTTTCTAACTGGGCCTCTTGGCCTCCCTGTGGTCCAGTGGGCACTGGTGGGATTTGGCAAGGCAGCAGGGGAGGAGAGGAGCACCCCAGGGTCCTTGTGAGGGGATGGGGGCATCTCATCTCTCGTTTGGCTTTCAGAGAAGGCTTCCTGTTGCTGTCCCTGACTAAGTTCTCCCCCTCTTGTTGCCCCACAAACCCGCCCTTCTCAGCCCAACAGTGGGTTTGGCAGTGCGGTGGCATTTCCTTGGAAGAACAAAAGAGAAGACTGTGTCCTGCAAATGCTTCCAGGGTAACTGCCTTCCGTTCCTTCAGTCATTGAATTCATGTGTGATTTCTTTCTGGGGCAGACAGGACACAGAGCGTTCTCTCAGCCTCAGGGCAGAAACTCCAGCTCACAGACACACTGAAAATTCTCGCGAAAGGAGCCGACAGGACCAAGATTAAGGGGGAAGCATCACACTAGACATGTTGGTCATATACACTGGAGGCCAGCCCACTGAAAAGCATTTAGGAAGCAATAATAATAATGATGAAATAGCAACTATTGTTTATTGAACACCTTTTATGTGCCATCCATTATCTCATTTAATTGTCCCATCATCCCTGTGATGGGCAATGTTATACCCATTTTACAGATGATGAAACTGAGACTTAGAAAGGTAAGATGAGAACCTGTTCCAATACCATGTTAGTAAATGGCAGAGTTGAAATTCAAATCCCAGTTATTCTCCCTCCCTTATTAATGTTCAGAACTTACCTAGCATATGGTATTCTCAATGGGGGTTGTTAGAAATAGATGGATTTCATGAGTACCTGTGAGTACCCACTAAATGCCAGGCCCTGGCTATGGTGCTTTCAAGTGGCATCTCATTTAACCTTTAGAATAGCCCTTGTGAGATGCATACAGTTCTCATTTTATGAATCAGAAAACTGAGGCTCAGAAGTTTGTCCAAGGTTACACTGAGCCAAATAAAGGCCTTTTTTAAGAAAAGCACCCAATGGGAAGAATGAATGAGGAATAACCTGGATGTAGGGATCAGAGTCCCAGAACCCAGAAGGACGGGAGGATGGGGTAGATACTGTCTCCGCTCACAAGAGGCAGCAGGGGGTTGAGGGGGAACTGTGATTTTTGGACAAGCCACCGCCCTGGCCTCCATTTCCTCAGCTGAAAAATGGGGCCACCAATACCTACCATACTGGGTTGTCATGAGGATTAAATGAGATGATGTACACGACGTGCTTAGAGCAATAGCTGCTTTCCCTTCCCCTGCTGCTCTCTGTCAGTTGCTCAGCACTCTTGGGGGTGGGTCCTGTAAAACCAGCCTGGCATCCCACCCTACCCCCATCCTGATCTAGCACCAGTGTGTACTAAGAATTTATGGAATGAGGACCAGCTGAGCTTGTACAACTCACTTATCCTCTCTGGGCCTCAGTCTGGACCACCAGGGTGGTGGGGGGCAGGGGGATGCTGGATGAGACCATCTCTGGGAGCCTCACTAGACCCAGCTAAGCCCCATTCCTGTCTTTTTCCCACCCCCGGCTTCTATTACCTTCGCTCTGAGTCTGAGCACAGGCAGCACACACAGGCTCTGGGGGCTGGAGCAGCTGCCTATTGTCCCAGGAACTGTCCCTGAAGCCTTCTTCAAAGGGATCCCCTCAACATACTCCAAGTGACAGATTCAGCCTTCTTTCTCCCACAGCCCCTAGCAGAGGCCCTCCTGTTCCAGCAGTGGACAGGAAAGTGACTCAGCCCCCACGGCCCCCTCCTCAGACTCACGCACCCACAGCCTTTGCTTTGGAAAAAGGGTGGTTTTCATTTCTTTCCTTTTTTTTCCTCTTCAAGCACTCTTACTTGTTCTGTCCCTGAGCTGTCTCTCCCATGAGCCTCCGTGGTCTGGGCCAGAGGTCTATGGCCAGCCCTTCTCCGTCCTCTCCTGGTGGAGGGTCCCAACAATGGAGCGGGCTGTGTGGCCCTACTGTGAGTAGGGGAAGAGGTGGGCCTCTGGAGGCCCCCACTGGCCCCCTATTATATTGGCTTCTATTAAATTGAAACACATAGCACATCTATTACACAATAAACCACAGCTATTTCATGGATCAAATTAAGTTTTATTTGGGCAAATTACAACCTTTCCTACAGTTGTGCCTTTGTGAGGCCATTCCTTTTTAATAAAAGCAAGCATTTCTGGGGCTGGCCCTCCTGGACCAAAGCACCATGGTGGGTTGGGGACTCAGGCCGGGGCTGGCAATAGGGTGGGAGCATGTGTGCGTGTGTGAGAGAGATGGGAATTCTCGGGGCCCCTCTTGGGAATAGATTTGGCCTCCTCCTCCCCCTGCCTCCCCATCCTGAGGTTGCCATGGGAATCTGCAGAGAACTTCTCATTAAACAAGAAAAAAGCAGCAGCAGCAGCAGGAAGGCATTTCCCGGAATCTGGGAGGAAGTATGAGTCACTGGCCTGCTAAGTGAGCCCTGCGTGGCCACTGCGGCCCCAGCCCAGGAGGCCTGGAGTGCAGGGCCAGCCATCAGAGCTGCACCAGGCCAGCCCACATAGACACGCCCGCTGCCCAGGCTGACGCAGGCTCCAGGAATGCAAACAAAGCTGGGTGGAGGGGCCTTCCGAGGGCCAGGGCACTGGGCCAGGAAGGAGGCAGCAGGCCTGCAGGAGAGGCCTGCGGAGGGGCCTCGGGCCTCAGACAAGCCCCTCTCTGGTGTCCTTGGAGCCCAGGATACCTGGCTGGTAAGGCTTCTAACTCTGGGTGTGACCTGGCCTAGCACTGCCAGCTCTGGCCTTCAGGCTCCTTGTAGGGCAGGGACAGGGGTTGCTCCTAGATCAGAGGTTCTCAAAGTTGGTCCCTGGACCAGCAGCATCAGCAGCACCTGGGAACTTGAGAGAAGTGCAGATCCTCGGCTCCCCGCTACAGACCTACTACATCGGAAACCTTGGGGTGCAGCCCAGCGATCTGTAATTAACAAGCCCTCCAGGCAATTCTGATGCATGCTCAAGTTTGAGGACCACTGCATGCAATAATCTGGGGGCCAATATCAAACCCACATCTGCTAAAAAGTCATTCAACAAAGTGAGATCTAAGGTTTAAGTAGCGCTCACTGTGTGCCAGGTACTGAGCTCACTGCTTTGTGTATACTAACTCATTTAATCCTCAAGCCAACCCATTGAGGTCAGGTTCTGTGATAACTTCTCCATTTTACAGGTGATATAAATGCTGCTTTTTCACCAGAAGCCACAGTTCTGGGATCTCAGAAGTGATGGATGATGCTAGGCCCAACTCATAGATTGGCCCATGCCGGCTAACTAGTACGGTAGCTGGCTGGCCATTCCCTGGGTAACTTGTCTTAAAATGCCCTTCAGAAGCTGTCCTGCCACCTAAGAGGTGGAGCAGTGGGGAGAACCCTCACTCCAGAACTGGAGAATCAGGCAAGTGGAGTGAAAGAAGCAAGAAGAGGCCTGAAGGAAGTGAGGCCTGAGAGAGATTCAGGGTCCCATGGAGAACCGCTTCTCCAAATGTGGTCCCTGGCGCAGCAGCATCAACAATGCCTGGGAGCCTATTAGAAATGCAGAATCGTGGACCCTACTCAAGACTTGCTGAATCTGAATCTACATGTTAATAAGATCCCCAGGGATTTGTGAGCACATTCAAGTTCAAGAAGTCCTGGGTGAGGCACACGGGCAGATCCCCGACCCCTTCCCACTACAGGATCACGGGGATCTGGGATCTGCGCCATGCTCAGCCCAGCTCCATGGGGGCTCTGGCTCCCTCATTGGCACAAGCATCCCCTCGGTTAACCCTGGAACTTGAGGTCACTGGAGGAAGCCTCCAGTTCTCAAAACCCCACAGCCAAACTAGTACAGTGAGTGGGAGGCTCTCACCCTTCTGAGTCGCCACTTCCAAAGGTAGAGGATCTTCACTTCCTTTATTTCTTTTCCTAGAATGTGGGCTCTGGGTTCTAACCCAGGCTCTGCCACTTACTGACTGTGATCCTGGAAGTTGCTAAACTTCTCTGCACCTTGGTTTTCCTTTTCTGTAATATGGAGGTAACACGTTTTCTTTTCTTTTCCTTTTTTTTTTTTTCAGATTTGTATTTCCCTTTTATTGTATATATTACCAACAAAATCCTGACCTGGGAATCAAAAATTTAATATAACCTCAGTTGAACACCATTAAATAAGCTAAATCACAGAGTAATACTGGAATGTTATCCAAATTAATAAAGTAGGCAAATGGCCAATTATTACATTCCCTATTTCAAAAAAGAGGCATTAAGCATTCATGTCATAAGTTTATTAACAAACATATCTAATATGCCATATGAGTTAGAGTTTGATCCATTTCCAGAGGCTGTATCTCTTAAAATGCTCTTCATATCTGTTAAATGGATGAACTGAAACATCCTTATGATTTAAGCAGTTGGTGTCTTACTATAAGGAAGGGTGAAGCAAATGCAGATGCAAAGTACGAACACATCTTAACTAGTAACGCCCACTTGTTTTCCACTGAAAATGGCGAATTCTTCCCAGGGCCCTCCTCATAATGGCTCCTACGGACCACAGAGGTTGTGAACCTCCAGATGCTCTGACCCAACATAGCGCTGCTGGAAGCTCTGCAAAAGGCGCAGAGACCGAGGACGGATGAAATGGTGGCATCTCACCAAGACCTTGTTTTCATGACCTTGTTCCCGTGCTCCGAGGTAACACATTTTCTAGATCATACCTTTTCTTGGTGCATATATCTAAGCAAATATATACATCATGCTTAGAAGAGTGGTTGGCACATAACGCCATTAACATTCATCACTTGCTGTCAGTCTTCTGTCTTTCCCTCCTCTGGGTGACCCTTGGGCTGGGGTGGGATGAAAGGAAGGTGGTGCTGACCTGTGAGGAGTCAGAGAAAGCAGTGCAAAGGCAGGGATACTGGACTGGGGGTGACTCCTGTAGCGGGAAGAAGGAAATGTGTTTGTATGACACTGGGGTATGCCAGGCTCAGTGCCAGGCACTTTCTTCCCTTCCACGGTTATACCAGGATAGTGCTGTTATTTTATAATCTTACAGATGGGGACTGAGGCCCCAGAAGGGCAGTGACCAGGCCAAGGTATTGCAGTTAGTGAGGGGTGGAGCTAGTGCTTGGTGGGTCTGCCTGGCCAGCTTAACCTCAGCCACCCTCATGTGCCCCATGCTTCCTCCTCCCCTGCAACCCTCAAGCCCTAGAGGGGGATCCAGGAGGCCAGGGCTGGCAGAGGAACAGGGAGTCTGAGAGGTCTTGGGCATGAAGCTTGTGGCTCCTTCCCTACGGCCTTGGTTTCCCCTGGTTGGGCCTCCTTTTCGCAGGGCAGCGGGACAGGTCTACTGAATGGACCTATCATGGGTTTGGCTCCTCCTGGCTTTGCTTCCCCTGCACTTTCTGTCCCTCTGTCCCATGACTGGGAGGCATGACTGGGAGGCAGGCCTTTGGCAGATATGTTAAAACACCAGCAGGGGGTACTTCTGGTTTCAGCTCTGATGTATCAAGAGCTTGGAAGTTGTCACACCCATCCTCACACCATGAAATAAGTTGAACAAACTGAAAGTCAACAATGTTTCTTAATTCTCATCAGATAATTAAAGTCACACGGCAAACTGCCACTCTGAAATCTGGGGAGATGAGTGAATACAGCCAAGATTAGCTTACTTGAAGCAGAAACCACTGGAGCCAGGAACTGTTGGGAACACTTGAATAGTAATTTTGATGAATTTCTGGAAATTAAGAATGAACTTGTTTGAAAATTAAAAACTTCTGGGGGCCTAGTTGTAGGTCTCCCTTCAATACTTAAGTGGGTTTTACCTCCAGGAACCCGACCAGACTGACACTGGGAAGATCAGAGGAAAAAAACAAACAAACCCTGTTCCAGACAGAAAGAGTGGAAAAATCACCATTTGAAATACCCCTAGAGCTTTCTCAGTGACAAAGGCCAACCCTCCCGAGAAACTACTTTATCAGAGCCTTGTCTGACTGGGGCAATTAGACAACTCAACCCCTTCCATCCTTCCTGTCTGTCTTACTTAAGGAGAAGGGAAAAAATAATGGGGCCAAAAAATGCTTCTGAAGGTCACAGCCCAGGGGCTCAGGCCAACTAAAAAACTAAGATTTAACAATAAGAGTATAGAATGCCTCCTCTCCCCAACATTTTATTTCCACCACCACAACAGGTCTTCAGTATAATAACAATGAATTACAACTGAAACAGCTATAAGACACAGACTCTTTAAGAAGAAGTTCTTAGGGAAACCCAAAGTTAACCATGGAGAAAAAAACAAACCAAGGAAATTAAAGGAAAGCAAAGCCTTTGGCACCTATAGCTATAGCAAAGCCTTTGGCACCTTTAGCTATAGCAAATCTTAAACACGGCTCAGCTCTAGTAAGATTAAAATAAAAACTCAGGCTAAACATGGTGGCTCATGCCTATAATCCCAGCACTTTGGGAGGCCAAGGTAGGTGAATCACTTGAGGTCAGGGGTTCCAGACCAGCCTGGCCAACACAGCAAAACCTCATCTCTACTAAAAATACAAAAATTAGCCAGCCATAGTGGTGGGTGCCTGTAATCCCAGCTATTCAGGAGGCTGAGGCAGGAGGATCACTGGAACCCGGGAGGCAGAGGTTGCAGTGAGATGAGATCACACCCCTGCACTCCAGCCTGGGTGACAAAAGTGAGACTCTGTCAAAAAAAAAAAAAAAAAAAACCACCACACACACACACACACACACACACATATTAAAAAAACAAACAAACAAACAACAACAAAAAAAATCCAAAAAACAATAATCAGAATTAGCTGGGCATGGTGGTACACGCCTGTAATCCCAGCTACTTGGGAGGCTGAGGCAGAAGAATTGCTTGAACCTGGGAGATGGAGGTTGCAGTGAGCCAAGATTGTACCATGGCACTCCAGCCTGGGCAACAAGGGTGAAACTCCACCTCAAAATAAAGAAATAAATAAATAAGAAACAAGTGCAGTGAATAGAAAATAATTACAAACATGGTAGATATTAATCCAACTATATCAATAATCACTTTAAATACAAATGCTATAAATGTACCAATTAAAAATAGGCTGTCAGAGGAATAAACAAAAGCTATCTGTTGTCTACAAGAAGCCACTTTAACTATAAAGGTTAAAAGTAAAGAGACAAAATCTAACACTTGTTCATGACAAAACTCTCAAGAAAGTAGGAACAAAGGAGAATTTCCTCAACTTGTAAAGAATATTTGTACAACTTTAGCGCTAACATCATGCTTAATAGTGAGAAATTAGATACCTTCCAGTGAAGGTCAGAAACAAGCCAAAGATGTCCCCTCTCACCACTCCTATTCAACATCATACTGGAATTTCTAGCTAATGTAATAAGATAAGAAAAAGAAAGAAAAGGTCTATAGATTAGGTAGGAAGAAATAAAGCTCTCTTTATTCACAGATGGCGTGATAGTCTATGGAGAAAATCTCAAAGAACTTCAAAAGAACGACTAGAACAAATAGCAAAGTTGCAAGATACAAAGTTAATATACAGCACTGGGCGTGGTGGCTCATGCCAGTAATCCCAGCACTTTGGGAGGCTGAGGTGGTGGATCACCTGAGGCCAGGAGTTCGAGACCAGTCTAACCAATATGGTGAATCCCCATCTCTACTAAAAATACAAAAATTAGCCAGGTATGATGGCCGGTGCCTGTAGAACCAGCTACTCAGGAGGCTGCGACAGGATAATTGCTTGAATCCTTTTAACAGAGGTTGCAGTGAGCCGAGATTGAGCCACTGCACTCCAGCCTGGGCGACAGAGCAAGACTCCCTCTCAAAAAAAAAAAAAAAAGAAAGTTAATAACAGAAGTCCATTGCTTTCATAGATACCAGCAATGAACAACAACAATTTGACATTAAAAATGCAATAACACTTACCAAAAAAAAAGGAAAAAAGAAAAGAATTTTTTATGTATAAATATAACAAAATGTGTACACGACCTACACAAGGAAATGATAAAACTAATGAAAGAGATCAACCATCTAAAGAAATGGAGTGCGCAGGAGCGGAAGTGCCCAATGGTGAAGGCAACCCGGCCTCCCCTCCCGTCCCTGCTCTGCCCACCTGGTCCCCGGAAATCTGTGAGTGACTTGGCCGCCTTTGATGCTGGGTCCTGGAGCTCTTCGTTGGTCCGCAGCCTTTGTCAGTCGTCCTTGCGGGCCAGCTTGAGGCGCAACATAGGCCCAGGAGCCTCAGAGGAGGAAGAGGAGGAGGAGGAAGCTGCTGCAGGAGGCCCATGTCATCCATCTTACTGAGGAGCTGTCAGGGCCGGGCGGCCTCCCGCCTCCCACCATCCCACGTCGCTGCCCTGAGGGGTAACCTGGGGGATCGTGTTGGTCTCCGTCGCAGGGCTGACGAGCCCCGTGAATGTTCCATTTAGCTGCCGCACACCCGCCTATCCGGTGTACCTTCCTTCAGAGGCCATCACCTCAGCCGTTGGCCTGTGAGGCGGGAGCGCTGGCACACAGTGGCTACGGTGGCGCCATGTTTGGTGGTCACGGGACCTCAGGACCTTCCTGCGCGCTCCTGGCACTCATCTCCCCACCTTGGCAACGACTCCGTAGTCAAGTCCTCCAAGGACAAGAATAAGAAGTTGCAGGAAGGCAGCCCCGTATACAGCCCCCCTGAAGAGGCGCCAATGAAGTCTGTGGGGCAGAGCGTCCTGGACAGGCTGAAGCACTATTACCACGGCTTCTGCCTTCTCTGGACCTCCACCAAGATAGCCACACACACGCTCTGGAGGATTCTCAGTGGCCACATGCTGACCAGCTGGGAGCACAGGCAGTTTGTCCGTGTCTGTGCTGACCTCTTTTGCCTGGCCCAGCTCCTGATCTTTGCGGTGGTGCTTTTCATGGAGTTGCTGTTGCTCATGGTAGTGAAAATCTTTTCCAACATGTTGCTGTCCACATTTGAGACCCAGTCCATCAAGGAGGAGAGACCGAAGAAGCAGCTATGGGGGAGCTGGAACTGGCTCAATTTCTCCAGGACACCATCGAGGAGATGGCTGTGAAGAACAAAGAGGTGAAGGGGAGGACTGCCAAAGACTTCTCCATGTTTTTCCAGAAGATCTGAGAGACAGGAAAGACTTAACAGCAAAGAAATCATGCGCTTTCCCAAATTATTTGAGGATGAGCTGACCCTGGGTAACCTCACCTGCCAGCAGCTGGTGGCATTGTGTGAGCTGCTGGATCTCCAGGCCATAGGCACCAACAACTTCCTATGCTTTCAGCTCACCATGAGGTTGAGGTCCATAAAGGCCAACAATGAGCTGATTGCTGAGGAAGGGGTGGACAGCCTGAATATCAAGGAACTGCTGTCGACATGTAGAACTCGAGGGATGTGGGCCCTCTGGGTTTCAGAAAACCATCTGAGGAGCCTGCTGAAGCAGTGGCTGGATATGCATTTGCATCAAGAGATCCCCATATCACTGCTCTCATTGTCCCGAGCTATATACCTCCCAGACACCCTCTCTCCTACTGACCAGCTCAAATCCACCTTGCAGACTCTTCCAGAGATAGCGGCGGAGGGAGCCCAGGTGAAAGTGGCCAAGGTTGAGGGCGAGCAGGTGGACAACAAAGTGAAATTGGAGGCTACATTACAGGAGGAGGTGGCCATCCAGCAGGAGCACAGGGAGAATGAGCTGCAGAAGCTATCCCAAGAAATGAAATGGAAGAAGCCACCCCTGAGAGGCCAGTGGCGGACCAGCAGCCAGAAGTGCCTGATGTGATCCTGCCCTCAGAGGCCCTGAAGGACACTGTCCCTGTGCTGGAGATCTTGAAGGAAGAGAAAATAACCAAAGAACAAATGGGTGTACTTAGTGACTCGTGTTCTAAACTGAAGGAGCAAAATAAGTCCTTAACCAAGGAGAAGGAGGAGCTGGAGCTACCTGAAGGAGGACGTCCAGGACTATAGTGATGACTTGCAAGAGATCAAGAAGGAAGTTTCAAAGATCAGCAAAGAAAAATATGTGGAAAAATCTAAAGCCAGCAAGACACTGACAAAGAGAGTTCAGCAGATGATCTGGTGGATAGACAGCTTGATCACACAGCTGGAGATGGATCAGAGGCCTGGCAAGCTGGGCCAGGCAGAGGGCTCAGGGGGAGCGGGAGAGAAAGTCATCAGTATCACCGAGCTCATCAGCACCATGAAGCAAATCAAGAACATTCCAGAAAACAAGCTGATCAGCTTGGCCTCAACACTGGATAAAAATTAAAATGGCAAGGTCAATATTGACAACCTCATTAAGGTGATTGAGCTGGTGGACAAAGAAGATGTTCACATCTCTATCAGTCAGGTAGCTGAGATAGTGGCAATGCTGGAGAAGGAGGAGAGGTGGAGAGGAAGAAGAAGGCTAAGGGAAAGACTGAGGAGGAGGCTGCAGAAGTGAAGAATTAGGGCTGGTCTTGGCTCTCAGGCATGTTGGTGGCCCTGCAGGTGTCTGCCTCCATCCTGCTTCACTAGCTGTTGTGGTAATGACCATAATAGTGATCACTTTGAGGTGATTTTTTTTTTTTTTTTTAGTACTAGAAGAAATAAATTTTATTTATTTATTTATTTATTTATATTATACTTTAAGTTCTAGGGTACATGTGCACAATGTGCAGGTTTTTTACATATGCATACATGTGCCATATTGGTTTGCTGCACCCATTAACTTGTCATTTACATTAGGTATTTCTCCTAATGCTATGCCTCTCCCATCCCTCCACCCCATGACAGGCCCCAGTGTGTGATGTTTTCTGCCCTGTGTCCAAGTGTTCTCATTGTTCAATTCCCACCTACATGTGAGAACATGCAATGTTTGGTTTTCTGTCCTTGTGATAGTTTGCTCAGAATGATGGTTTCCAGCTTCATCTATGTCGCTACAAAGGACATGAACTCATCCTTTTTTATGGCTGTATAGTATTCCATGGTGTATATGTGCCACATTTTCTTAATCCAGTCTATCATTGATGAACATTTGGGTTGGTTCCAAGTCTTTGCTATTGTGAATAGTGCCGCAATAAACATACATGGGCATATGTCTTTATAGTAGCATGATTTATAATCCTTTGAATATATATCCAGTAATGGGATTGCTGGGTCAAATGGTATTTCTAGCTCTAGATCCTTGAGGAATTGCCACACTGTCTTCCACAATGGTTGAACTGGTTTATACTTCCACCAACAGTGTAAAAGCACTCTTATTTCTCCACATCCTCTCCAGCACCTGTTTTTAATGCTTTACTTCCAACTACATGGTCAATTTGGAATAAATGTGATGTGGTGCTGAGAAGAATGTATATTCTGTTGATTTGGAGTGGAGAATTCTGTAGATGTCTATTAAGTCTGCTTGGTGCTGAGTTCAAGTCCTGAATATCCTTGTTAACCTTCTGTCTCGTTGATCTGTCTAATATTGACAATGGGGTGTTAAAGTCTCCTATTATTATTGTGTGGGAGTCTTAGTCTCTTTTTAGGTCTCTTGGGACTGGCTTTATGAATCTGGGTGCTCCTGTATTGGGTGCATATATAGTTAGGATAGTTAGCTCTTCTTGTTAAATTGATCCCTTTACCATTATGTAATGGCCTTCTTTGTCTCTTTTGATCTTTGTTGGTTTAAAGTCTGTTTTATCAGAGACTAGGATTGCAACCCCTACTTTTTTTTTTGCTTTCCATTTGCTTGGTAGATCTTCCTCCATCCCTTTATTTTGAGCCTATGTGTATCTCTGCACATGAGATTGGTCTCCTGAATATAGCACACTGATGGGTCTTGACTCTTTATCCAATTTGCCAGTCTGTGTATTTTAATTGGGGCATTTAGCCCTTTTACATTTAAGGTTAATGTTGTTATGTCATTATGATGTTAGCTGGTTGTTTTGCCTGTTAGTTGATGCAGTTTCTTCCTAGCATAGATGGACTTTACAATTTGGCATGGTTTTGCAGTGACTGGTACTGGTTGTTCCTTTCCATGTTTAGTGCTTCCTTCAGGAGCTCTTGTAAGCAGGCCTGGTGGTGACAAAATATCCAGCATTTGCCTGTCTGTAAAGGATTTTATTTCTCCTTCACTTATGAAGCTTAGTTTGGCTGGATATGAAATTCTGGGTTGAAAATTGTTTTCTTTAAGAATGTTGAATATTGGCCCCCACTCTCTTCTGGCTTGTAGAGTTTTTGCCGAGAGATCTGCTGTTAGTCTGATGGGCTTCCCTTTGTGGGTAACCTGACCTTTCTCTCTGGCTGCTCTTAGCCTTTTTTCCTTCATTTCAACCTTGGTGAATCTGACAATTATGTGTCTTGGGGTTGCTCTTCTCGAGGAGTATCTTTGTGGTGGTCTCTGTATTTCCTGAATTTGAATGTTGGCCTGCCTTGCTAGGTTGGGGAAGTTCTCCTGGATAATAACCCGAGAAGTGTTTTCCAGCTTGATTCCATTCTCCCTGTCACTTTCAGGTACACCAATCAAATGTAGATTTGGTCTTTTCACATAGTCCCATATTTCTTGGAGGCTTTGTTCATTTCTTTTTACTCAGAACTTCTCTTCTCGCTTCATTTCATTAATTTGATCTTCAATCACTGATACCCTTTCTTCCACTTGATTGAATTGTCTAGTGAAGCTTGTGCATGCATCACGTAGTTCTCGTGCTGTGGTTTTCAGCTCCATCAGGTAATTTAAGGTCTTCTTTACACTGCTTATTCTAGTTAGCCATTCGTCTAATCTTTTTTCAAGGTTTTTAGCTTCCTTGTGGTGGGTTCGAACATCCTCCTTTAGCTCGGAGAAGTTTGTTATTACTGACTTTCTGAAGCCTACTTCTGTCAGCTCGCCAAAGTCATTCTCTGTCCTGCTTTGTTCCATTGCTGGTGAGGAACTGCGATCCTTTGGAGGAGAAGGGGTGCTCTGGTTTTTTTTTTTTTTTGAGATGGAGTCTCACTCTGTCACCCAGGCTGGAGTGCAGTGGTGCAATCTCAGCTCACTGAAAGCTCTGCCTCCTGGGTTAACACCATTCTCCTGCCTCAGCCTCCTCAGTAGCTGGGACTACAGGCACCTACCACCACACCCAGCTAACTTTTTGTATTTTTTTTAATAGAGATGGGGTTTCACCGTGTTAGCCAGGATGGTCTCAATCTCCTGACCTTGTGATCTGCCTGCCTTGGTCTCCCAAAGTGCTGGGATTACAGGCGTGAGCCACCGTGCCTGGCCGATGCTCTGGTTTTTATAATTTTCAGCTTTTCTGCTCTGGCTTCTCCTCAACTTTGTGGTTTTATCTACCTTTGGTCCTTGATGATGGTGACCTACAGATGGGGTTTTGGTGTGGATGTCCTTTTTGTTGATGTTGATGCTATTCCTTCCTGTTTGTTAGTTTTTCTTCTAACAGGTCCCTCAGCTGCAGGTCTGTTGGAGTTTGCTGGAGGTCCACTCCAGACCCTGCTTGCCTGGGTATCACCAGTGGAGGCTGTAGAACAGCAAATATTGCAGAACAGCAAATATTGCCACCTGATCCTTCCTCTGGAAGCTTCATCTTA